AGAAGAGCTGCGTTTCCGTCTGAATTCGATCACCAGCATGTTAACTAAAAAAGAACAGGAAGTAGGCCGTTTGACTGAGGAACTGGAGAATGCCAAGCTTCTGCACAGTGAACTCATTGAGAAAATTAGCTCTCTGGAAGCTGCATTGGAGGAAAGTCGCAAAGAGGTAGCGAACATTCGTGCTGCTGCTGCTGTTATTAAACCTGTCAGGTAGCATTTACTGCTTTTCAAATTCCTTCTTTCGATTTTTCGCATCTTTTCGAGTTCCTTCTTTCACTTGTTTCACTGTACTTTATTTTAGCTCAACAAGTTCAGTCATTTCCCAAAGTGGCAGTTCTGTGAGGGCACTGCCTGCAGTATCGCAGCCAACTGAAGCGCCGAAAGCAGGTGATTTTTGAAGGAACATCTTTAGTGCTTTTGTTAGGCGTTTTTTGCAGCTATGCAATACGGAAAACGCATATTGACGAGAGGTTGTCTGTGTGTGTATGTGTCTGTGTGTGCGCTGGGCCTCTGTACCGATTTTTCATCTCGAAACCTACAAAAGCTACAGGGCTGAAACTTTCAGAACTTAATCCGCATGCATGTACGGACCTCCATCCCCGAAATGGGTGGTCTTACCCGCTTGGTACCCACGTACAGGCCCGCGAAAGTTTTCTGCGGGTAAGTCGCTAACTCGCCAACCAGAAAAGCTAGAAAGCTGAAATTTTAAGGGGATTTTCCTCGTCCGCCTATGTCTCATTGAGTTCAAACCCAGCCCTCGGGTATGCGTGGTACCCACGCTTGGGCCCACTAGAGTTTTTTCGGGTAAGTTGCTAATTCGAGAATTTGAAAAGCTAGAAGACACTCTAATTTTAAGAGAACGTTTCCCATCCAAGCGGGTATTAAAGAGCTCAAGCCCAGCCCCCCGGTATACGTGGTACCCAGGTACGGGCTCGTGAAATTTTTTTCGGGTAAGTTGCTAACTCGGGAATCTTAAAAGCTAGAAGACTGGAATTTTGAAGGGCTATTTCCTAACAGCCCTGGCGACCAGTCTGAAATTCTTTCAGCTAGAAGCATCTGGCGGAAAAAACAGTGCCGTTAGCGGCAAAAATCTGCGGGGCACTATGCAAAAAACGCATCTTTGCACGGGCAGTCCGTGCGTTGGCCAATTATCAAATCCTGGAGAACTGACTGCATTCAGACTTTTTTGGCATCTTATTTAAACTTTCCTTTAGTTGCACGCGTATTTCAAGCTGGTGGCATACAGCCGAAGTCACATAGAAAGGCGGTAGACTTTTTGTTTTTCGTTTGCGAGGTCTAAGCGTATCATTGTAAGTTTTGCTTAGTAGGCTTCAGTATCGAATAAATGGCGACGCGCACCAGACTAGCCGGTGCGATCATGCGTTTTGTGCAGTTCAACCCATCAAACGATTGCCTGTTAATGATTTTCACTGCTTTGTTCTTTAGTCTGTGCAAAAATAGTTCAAACATTGAAAAATAGTTAAAAATTTCACGCACCAGCCTATAAAAGCTGAATTCGAAACCATGAAGGATGAATATCTTTCCGTGATTCCCGAGTTAATAGTTTATCTGCCAAAATTTTCACGAGGTTGTAGGTGGTAACCGAGAGCGCGAGAACGATGAATTTGAAGGGCAAGGTTAAACGTGGGTAGGGGGTCATTATTTTTAAATGTTAGCCTCCTAGACTCCATGGTTCTCGAGATATTAACTTACCCGTGAATAACTTTCACGGGGTCGTACGTGTTACCCGCGGGTAAGGGAAAGCTGAATTTGAATGGCAAGGTTGAGGGTGGACAGGAGGTCACTGCGGTAAAACTTCAGCCTCCTAGACTCTGAGGTTCTTGAGATATTAACTTACCCGTGACTTACCCGTGAAAAACTTTCACGGGGCCGTAAGTATTACCCACGGGTAAAGGATGGGTGAATTCGAATGGGCAAGGTTGAGGGTAGACACGGGGTCATTGCCCTGAAACTTCAGCCTCCTAGACTCCGTGGTTCCCGAGATATTAACTTACCCGTG